GAGTTTTTGGACTATCTATAAATTTCAAATATCTGTTAGCCTTGGTGTCATTTCCTAGCAATAACTGAGAGGCAGTTAAGTTTCTTTTCACACATTTAGCGAATCTTTCGAGGTGTCTCTGAAGGTAAGATCATTTATTTCTTTGACTTGCTTATGAATAAGTGAAACTTGTATTTCCAGAACCACCAAAAGAGTGGATTTGAGTTTCATACTCCCTCCAACCTTCCTCCACCTGGTTAAAAATATAAGATTGTAAATCCATCAACTTCCATCCTGGTAGCCTGTACTTCTCAGATAACACATCCTCCTGTCTGGAGACAGGCAGAGCTGAGGAAGAGTTTCTTTCTAGACACAGTTGCGTCTGGTGTATCTGAACCTTTCTTGTTGAAGTCACATGTGTATGGGGAGAAATAGAATGGTGCTCTTACCTTCCTTGACTTTTAAAAATTAAAAAAAATGTTTTGTGATTATTTCCTCAGTTAGTCCTGACTTCAGGCTAACTAGAAGGCAGCACCCCTGTTTTATATGGGAAAAAATGCAGTTTATTATAGGTTTTTATATTTTCTACTTGTTCATTTTACTGGTGCAAATTTAAGATTTTGATTTTCTTTTAATAGATCCAGTCTTGAGGTAATTGGTTGTTTTTACCTTTATTCCCCTTTTATCTTTTTTGGATAATTCTCTGTATACTCCTGCTGCCTACCTCTCTTCACCCCCCTCACCCCCGCGCCCTTTCTAAACCTTAGTATCTGTTGGGTGAACAGTATATCTTTTCTTTTAGAATGTGAGATATTTCCAATACTTACTTTTTGCTGAATCCAAAGATATATAAATATATATTTTATAAAGATCAAAATGATATAAAGGAGATACATGTTTCTTCATTTAAAAAATAGAAATCCATTGTTAATGTTCATATTGTGATGCCACTTTTCTAAATTGTGCATCTGGATGGAAAGGTGTAAATATCAATAGGACTGCTTAATCAGTATTTAATATCTAAGGTGAGTTGGGGGTGTATAAGGGTGGGGTGCTACAAACAGGTTTGCTGTCTTATAAGTTCCTTGGTCCACAGAATGGACTCCCAATTACCCATGTGCCTGCCCAGTTGTCTTTTTATTTGCAGAAGCCATGGTTTCTTTCACATAGGAGGGAAGCCTCTTGGATAGATGAACTCTCCCTTCTGCAGAGAAGCTGGGGCTGCTGTTCGGCTCCAAGGCAGACTGCTTAATCGTGAGCAGAGTGTTCTTTTTCTTCCCTTCTCTTTCCAATATGTAGAATTTTGAAGAAGATAGAAATGTCATTCTGAGAGCAATATGTAAATTCTCAGGAATTGACTTACAGTATTGAGAATGAATTCACTTTCAATCAAGTTTACATTAAATATTGCTTTTAAAAAATCTAAATCATTCTTTACACTGCAAAGAATCCAAACCACATGGGATAACTTATGAGATGGTTGGGTGGTAAGCTATGACTCAATTTGTTGATCATTTTGGATGTCACTGTAAATAAAGGTTTCTATTTAAGCCTAAGAGCCTGCTGCCTTTTTTTTTTTTAAATCCTTATTGGATTAAAGGTAAGAGATAAGGTTAAGGAATCCTGTTTCAGATAATGGTAGCAGTTTCTGTGAGGCTAAAAGAAATCTTGAGGACCATGGACCTGTTCTTAGACAAGGGGCATGCTTAGGGATTGTCTGTTAAGGAGAAATGGTTTGGAGTAGGTGATGGCTGTGGTTTGTCTTCCCATTCTAGCATTCTGACGGCTACCGTCACCTGGTTGGACCACACTGTACAGAAAGAAGAGTTGGCTAAGGTGAACCGCTTTGCAGTTGGTCAATACTTTTTAAAGTGCGGTCCTGAAGCTGGTGTGTGATGTGAGACTTAACTTTGGGGTCCCTGAAGCATGGTAAATTCTAGTCAATTATGACTATTCTCTCTTAAAATACCGTCTAAACCCAAGGTGCCCCCTTCCAAAAAAAGGTGTTCTCTGATAGTATCTTGAACAAAAAAAACCCAAACACACCAAAAAAGTTCCCAAGAATGGCCTTTTACAAAATGTCAAAGGTTACCTCACACCAACTGCTGGTCATTGGCTGGGGTTTTCAACATTGTATGACAATACTTAAGACTACAAAATTTCTTTACAAATACAATTTTGTTAAAACTTGGGACATACATCAACTTCATGTTTTTGTAGGACTTGAAAAAGCATTAGTTCTGGGACAGAAAACAAAAGAATCCTGGGAGAAATGGCATCTGGTGCGGAAGAGAACCGTCCACGAACGCATGGGGTTCTCTCACATGGGCCACAGCGTCTATTGACACCACCACTCGTGAAAACTGGGTTTTCTTATTAGGTTCACCTAAAAGTTCCCAAGCGTGTAAACGGTCACGTATGTACAGTAAAGTCAGTTTCTTCAGAGGCAACCAGGGCTGCTCTGCTAGGTAGAACTTTGTCACCTCCGTTGTGCTGTTGACTCATTGTCATGCTCTGTGCACCAGTCCCTGCACCTGCACGTTGCCTTTGCCCTGCTTCTTAGCGCCTGCTTGGTGACAAACCAAAACAGTAAGAGGATTTACAGACAGGGCTGTTCTTTCCTTGTGATTAAAAAAAAAATTCCAGTGACTTTCACCCTTGGGGAAAATTTCCAAGAAAAATCTCTGTTCTTCTTTCCTTGTGACCCTCTCAGAGAGGGTTAGTGGTGACTTTCTGATATGAAAATGCGTTTTGTGCAGCTGGTGAGGTATAATCCAAAGCAAAAGCAGGGGTAAAATGGACTTCCAGAAGTATCATTACTCCCGATGGTTCTCTTCCAGATTCTGCCATGTCGACGGAAAGCAAGGTCCGTGTCTCTCCGGCCTCCCGGCTAACAGCATAGGTCTGCTTGAGATCATACAGGGGTTTTCCTTGTGCAGTCGGATGATGCCCGTTTTTTGATGGTTCAGCTCGTGCTTCTTAACCTTCCCAGCCTTCCCACAGCTGTCCCCTGTAGAACAAAGCAAACAGCTCATTCATCATGCTGTCTGTGGATTTCTGAATCAGGCCTACAGTTGAGTGAGCTTTGCCTCAAGGAGGTGGCTGCTGCTTATTTCTAGGTCTCTCAAAGAGCTGGCGACCACCTGTTCGTCTAGATTGTCAGCTGTTGGCTGAGAACCCTGTGGCTGGCAAAGATGTCACTTAAAGACCTGGCTAGAATAATGGCTAAGGAGAAAGTGAGACGTAAAGTTTAAGTGCTTTAATTCTGGTAGCACCAAAGAATGCTTTAGCTGGCCCATTAGTACCATTCTGTTAAAGCCACAGAGGTTGATGTGCACATAAAGAAAGAAACAAGTCGGCCAGAGGTTGCAAATGGCAGCTCGCCAAGGGGGTTGGTTTGCCTGCGTAGTAACAATGTCCGAGTAGCTGCCAGCGTGAACAAATTCTCACTTTTCTGTGTTTCTGGATTTTCTCCATGAATCTGAGGATTCAAATTGCATCCCACTTGGTTCCCTGTAGACTAGAGTGACCTCTCCGGGAGACCACAGCCTCTTAGCACCCCTGTTGGCACTGGAGAGTGAGCTCATAGCTTGGACGTTGTGGAAACCATTTAATGAGGCCACCTCGCTGCTGACAAGAGGGACCAGATAGAGCTTCTGCAGCCACAGCCTTCAAGATGTCTGGAATGACAAGACCTAAATGCTGCTCAGTCTCTAAGGAATGCCTTGAGCTTACTAAACACAGATGATCATGTAGAGAACAGCAGTGTATTAGACAGAGTATTAAATCAGAACATGAAATGGATCCCAGTATGTTACTTCACGGGAAGGACTGAGGTCACTGCTTCCCCTCTCATTAGGGGAACAGATGAGAGGAGAGTGGGGAGGGCATGCACACACAACAGCCTCGGCAGAACAAAGCGGATCACACCAGATCTGTTTGGAAACCAGTTCCTCAACTCACAGTGATTTGGAAGAAGGTCTCTTCATTTCTGGCCACTTTCGACGCTGAAACTGCCTACGTTTTCAAGTGTCAAAAGGAGAAGGAGTGTTAACCATCACCAAGAAAGAAAAAGCGAGCCCCAAAGAATATACTAAGATGGTCTCTGAAGGTGCCACGTATCACTGGTGGGTGACCCCCGGCCCCTGGCAGCCCAGAGAAAGGGCAGCGTCTCAACCTCAGGTCAGACCACAGGGGGCGCTGCCATACGGGGCTGTTCTCAGGCTTTAAAAACAAGACCAGTACCTGTACTGCTCATAGCTTCCTCCATCTTTCAGTCCTAAAGGGGAGAGAAACGCACAAAAGAGAAACAGATGATTTAGGGCAAAAATGGCACAAGGAAGGACCAACTCTAACTGCCTCTTTTTCTTTTTTAAAACACTAGGTTTTTTGTCAGAAATCTACGATGTGGCCCCTAGGCAGACAGAGTGGACTGAGTTACGAGGTGAGCTGTCCCTGAGACTCCTTGTAAGTCGCCTGCGCTCCTGTGCCCCCAATCCGTTTTAGGGTCCTGTTGACCCTGGTCAGGGTGGGGGAGGCGCACATGGGCACAGTTACGCTGCTGAGGGCAGGGGCAGACCCCGAATCTGGGCTCTCGGCATGTGTCCTGGGGGAACGTGTGACATGCATGGGCCCTGCATCTAGTCACGTTACTCGTCCATAAACAAGGACCAGCAGATTCACTTCAGGGTTGTTGGAAGGGTTACCAGTTACTGCATGTAAAAGCCTCAGCACCCTGCCGGGCTCGCAGTGATTGGTAAGTGGTGGCACTTACCACAGAAGTAGCACCGGGGTGGTGGACGTTCTCAGCCGCTGGTGAGACTGCACCAGCTCCTGGTGATTATATGACCCCCTCAGTTCCCTCCCATGGTCACCCCACTCTCCATGCTGGGGCGTCTACTCACCCAGGTCCATGTTTCGGGTTCGGGGGTTACACTGCTTGTAACCCTTGCAACTCCGCAGCTCCATGAGCTGCACATGCAGCTGGTTCAGGACATCCCTGTCCAGTGTATTGACTGCGTTCATCAACTGGTTGGAAGAAAGGTAAGTTGTCAACTAGGTGAGTACGGGGCCCCCCACCCGGGGGACTTACTTCAGGTAGGTGGGGAGTAGATGGGGCCAGGGGATGGTGACCTCTACTTCTGCAAGAGCTGGAGTTTGGAATAGGCAGGACTACCCTTTGCCTCTAGCAAAAGGTTCTCTCTCCACGTGAATGAAAACTCAAAATAAAAACCACCTTTGTGTACTTCACACTGAACTCCTGGAGCCACTGGTCAGGAAATTTACCAAGCCTGGGAAGCCCTTCACAGCCCTCAGGTTCTCTTGATGAGAAGGCAAGCCATGTGGACAAAGGCTGGTTAAGTGACCTGGGTCCCCACCTGGTCTGGGAGCTGCTGGTGACCCAGTAACCTACTGGCTGTGCTACCCGCTTTTGTAAAATATGGGGATAACCCACCGAAGGAGAAAGCCTGGCAGCCTGACGGGTAATGCAGGATAAGCGGTGGAGTTGCTGGCATTTAAAAATCAGCCTTAGTGTTAAAACTTGCTTTCAGGCTTTTCTTGAAACATGGAAGATTGGACAATACCAAGGCCATGCTACTGAGAAGCTCTCGTGGGTCGTGCTTGTCTGTTTAGAAGGGACACACACACTCCCCTCCCCAGACTCTGCGGCTGCTTTTTGTCTTACATGTTCTGGCTACTTTAGTCCTGTCCGTGCTCAGGTAGGTTCATACACAGAAGCACGGGGTGCGTGCTGCATGAGTGGCCATCCCATTATCCATGGGCTGTGGCCTGACTCTTGGGACTCCTGAAGCTCCAAAGTTCTAGGCGTTTTCCCACGTTCCCACCAAGCCTGCTCTAATGTTGCCAGGTGCCTAAGTTAGATGGAAGAGGCTGTGCACCCCAGGGGACAGCCGGGAGGATAGAGGCAGGGAGGCCGGCTTGCAGAGTCCCGGCCTTCCGGCTGCCTTCACATTCACTTCTCCTTTTTCAGGGCCTCCACGGGACTTGGAAAATCTGTAGTCACCTCCTTGGGGAGCCTAACGGGCAGCGCCTGTGCCCCATGCCCCCATTTCTCCAGCCCGTGCTGTCCGTACCTGGTAGGGGTCTGTGTTGAGATCAAAGTACTCTAGGAAGCCGGTTGCAAATTCACAGAAGAGGAAGTTGTGGGTCTCGTTGATGGTTCTCATGCACCAGTACGTGTTGTTGTTGGCGCTGGTGCAGGCACAGAAGGGCCCCACTGCCGAAGGAAGAGACAGCGGGCCCTGAGCAGGACGCAGCCCAGTCTGCCCGCAGCACCGCCCCCAAGCCCCTTCCTGTCCGAGCACTTGACCCCCGATGATGTTGGGGAACTTGGTCCTGAAAGACCCGCAGGATCTGGTGAGGAGGCGCTCACCAGCTGGGGGCCCCTGGGTCCCCGCCAGCCCCACTCACGTGTCCAGAGGGGCGCCGTCTGCCAGTGCTGGTTGTCGTGGGTGAAGCACGTGAGGCCTGGCATGCTGCACGTGTCGTTGTTCTGCAGGCGCCGGAGCAGCTTGCGGAGTTTCTTCTTGCGCTTCTGCTCCCGCAGCAGCCACACCTTGTCCTTTTCCTGCAGACCCTTCCTAGGGACACAGGGCCGCACCCCTCACACCTCCCCTGGACCCCCGCCCTGCCCAGAGAGCCATGGAAACGGCCCTGGGGGGCCCCAAGGGGAAGGCAGTGCAGGAGCGGATAGTATTACGGGGTGGCTTGGACTCCTGCTCACGCCCGTGTCCAGTCCAGCCTGGGGTTGCAGTAACCCCCTTTGGCCACAGGGAGGTGCCTGGAGACCAGCTCAGTCCTTATCTGGGCCTCTGCAGGGAGCACTGTCACTCCCAGGGAAAGGCTAGGACTTCCTTTCTCTTGTTCTAGCTTGAGCAAAGGCCGTCTCCTCACGAGGGGCCTCTGTGTCGCTGCCCTTACCTGAAAGGATGCAGGCTGGAGCCTTTGTGCTTGAGGCGGCCTTTGTGCGGGGCGTGGTAACTGCAACAGACCCCAGCCCAGGCTTCAGACAGGGCAGAGCCGGGGGGTTGGGGGTGCACACTGCATTCCCTGGGACCCCTGTTTTCTCCTCCTGGGGCAATGCTGGGAGGTGCTATCCCCAGGGCAGCAGCCCCCAGCCAGCCTGGCTCCTTCCCCCAAGTGTGAGCTGGGGACCCCTGGCTCAGGTCTTGGCCAGATGTAGAAGGTTGGGGTAGATACAAGTGAGCAGAGACTGGAGGCTGGGCCTGGCTCCACGTGGCTTCAGCCCTGGCATCTCCAGGGAGGCTGCTCCCAGACACTCGCCACACTGCGCTTGGTCAGGCCAGCCCCGGGGGCACGCTTCCCGAAAAGGCACCAGAGACTACAGAAGCCACACGTGGCTATTTCAACTAATTCAGTTCCTCATTACACTCGCTGCATTTCAAGTGCTTGGTGGCTGCCAGACTGGGCAGCACAGATACAGCCAGGGCCCATCGTCACAGGAGTCTGATGGGACAGTGCGGCTTGCAAGTTCCAACCTTTGGCAGGGGTCCCTGAGGTGGTAACGTGGGCCGGGGCCACACAGAAGGCACTTTCCTCTCCTGGGAACCAGCTCCACAGATCAACAGTCTGCCCCCATCATCAATGCGTGAATCTGCGCATCCGGCTGGCTACGTGAGGGGCAGTGAGATGTGCCCAGGGGCTGACAATGGGCATGTGAATCATTATTTTTTTTTTTTTACTCTAAGTGAGGGGACAAGGATATAAAAATAATGAAAGGAGTCGCAGAGAGGATGCTGTGTCCCCAGGAGTGGTCCTGCACACACTCCGCACCTGATTTTGTGACAGTCACATTCTTCTGGCCGCTTTTTCTTCAGGTGACCTCGGACTTCCCTCAGGTTCTTAATTTTGTTCTGCAGGGTCTCGATCTGAGGGAGGGGGCAGAAGAGGTGGCCGTGAGACTCTGGGGGGCTGAGTGAGAAGGGATTGCCTGGTGGGGCCCCAGGTCACTGCCCGTGTCTGGGGGGGGTGGTCTTTGGTTCCACCTGCTCCAGGGAAGGGACAACAGGTCATCTCTTGTCCTGCCTGAGACCTTAAAGGTCCCCCCCCCAAGGCTTACTGGAAGGACTGAGTGTGGGGTGAGCATCTTGTAACTCAGAAAGGTGCACAGTGTGGCTACGCTGTCCTCCCTGCTGAAGGAGCTGTCTGTCCGAGCCCTGGACCGACACTGCTGGCCCTGGGGGAGGATTCTGTGTGGCCTCCCTCCCCTGGGCCGGGCTCACGGCCCTCCCGCTGTGGCTGGTGGTCCCGCCAAGCTCGCCGTGGTGAGAAACCCAGCCTCCTGTCACCTCGTGGTCAATGTGCAGCTTGTGGTCCTTCCAGGCCTGCAGGGACTTGTACAGGTCCAGGTCGCACTGGACCGTGTCGTTCTCCAGGATGTAGCACCTGCTCGAGAGACAGGATCACGTGTGGCCCTTGAGGGGGGTGGGGGAGCCCAGTCTGCCTCTATGACCCACCCCCCCCACCCCTGCCTGGACTCTCACCGATGTGTGACTTTAATGGGGTTGGGGGCTGAGTAGTCTGGGAGGCCTCCAGTGCCACTGAAGTCCCCGCCATCCTTGTCGTCCTGGTCCTCAGGGGCCCCTTGCCAGTGCCGCTTGGTGAGGTTGCGGGGCTGGGATGTGTCGTCCAGGCTGATGTGGTGTCCCTCGATGGCCACCGAGCGGATGGAGCGATTCCGGGCATAGCTGGCCTTGTACTCTGGGCATGAGAGGAACAGCTAGGCTGGGTGGGCCGGCCAGGCTCCCCAGGCAGTGGACTCTTCATCCAGACCAGGCTGTGCTCCCCAGGGAGGGGCCTGGTGCTGCCTGGGTCCTGGGTGGGTAGCTCATGAAGCCTGGACCTCAAAGGGAAGGACCTCATGGTGATTCAACTGGGGAAACAAGTCCTAGAGCTCAGAAGGAATTGGCTGGAGGGAGTCTCACGAAAGAGCTCTGCATGGATACCAAACAGTGGGACATCCCCACAATGGAGTATCTGAACATCCAGCAATGAAGCAGTGCGGCTGCTACCATGCAGGCAAGTGTCAAAAACATTCTGCTGTGTGAAGGAGCCGGATGCAGAAGTCACAAACTGTGATTCTATCTGTGTGATGCCCAGAACAGGTACAGACGTAGGGACAGATAGCAATCTAGTGGCTGCCGTGGGATGGAGAGGGGAAAAGGGGTTTACTTTGGGGTGAGGACAATGTTTTAGAACTAGCTAGGGGTGGCGGTCGCCCTACATTGTGAATTATTAAATACTTCTGAATTGTATACTTACGAAATTGTAAAAATGTTAAGTTTTATGTTATGTGAACTTCACCTCAATAATAAAGGAAAAGAATCAGTTATTAGAAGTCTTCCAACCCATCAAAAAGTCTAAGATCTGATGGTTTCACTGCTGAATTCAACCACATTCAAAGAATACCAGTCCTTCTCAAACTCCTCCCCCAAAACAGATGAGGGAACAACTTCCAGACTTACTTTATGCGGTCAGCATTGCTCTGATACCAAAACTAGACAAGGTTGTCACATGAAAAGAAAATTATAGGCCAGTATCTTTGAACATAGATACAAAAATCCTCAGCAAACTGAATTCAAAAGTACATTAAAAAAAGGATCATACACCATGATCAATTAGGATTAATTCCAGGGATGCAAGGATGGTTCATCGTTTACAAATCACTTAAGGAAAATAAAACATTAAGGATAAAAATCTTGATTATCTCAATAAACTCAAAAAGAATTTGACAAAATTCAGCATCCATTTAAGATAAAAACTATTTGATAAAGACTCATATGACTCAGCAGCAAAAAAGACCCAACAACTGATTAAAAAATGGGCAGAGGATCTGCATAGACAATTTTTCCAAAAAAGACATACAGGTGGCCAACAGGTACATAAAAAGATGCTCCCCATCACTAATCTTCAGGGAAATGCAAATCAAAACCACCATGAGATATACCACCTCCCACGTGCTAGAATGGCTATTATCAAAAAAAAAAAAACCAAGAACCAGTTTTGGCGAGGATGTGGAGAAAAGGGTACACTTGTGCACTGTTGGTAGGACTATAAACTGGTTTCAGCCACTATAGAGGTTCCTTAAAAAATTAAAACTAGAAAACACTAACTCAAAGAGATGTCTACACCCCTGTGTTCGTTGCAGCACTATTTACAATAGCCCAGATAAGGAAACGGCCAGCCTAAGTGTCCATTGATAGATGAATGGATAAAGATGTGGCATGAAGAGATACATATATACAAAATGCAGTATTATTCCGCCATAAAACAAGGAAACCTTGCTATTTGCATCAACAGGGGTAAACTTTGAGGGGATTATGCTCAGGGAAGTAAGTCAGAGACAAATGCCATACGATCTCACATGTGGAAGCTAAAACAAACTAACCTGAATACAGAGAACAGATTGGTGGTTGCCAGAGGCGTGGGGTTGGGGTAAGGGTGGGGGGGGGGTGAAAAGGTACAAACTTCCAGTTACAAAATAAGTCATTAATGGGGATACAACATACAGCATGATGACTATAGTTAGTAATACTGTATAGTGTATTTGAAAGTTACTGAAACATAGAGAACAATGTTACCAGAGGGGGAGGGGTAAATTAGGAGTTTGGGATTAGCAGATACACACTACTGTCCTACTGTACACAGGAGAGAAACAAGGTCCTACTGTACAGCACAGGGAACTACATTCAGTATCTTGTAATAACCTATAATGAAAGAGTATAAAAAATATATTTATGTATAAGTGAGTCACTGTGTTGTACACCAGAAACTAACACAACATTGTGAATCAACTATACAGTTAAAAAAAGTTGCTGAGTAGATTCTAAAAAGTTCTTATCAAAGTGAGGGTTGAGCCAAGATGGCAGAGTAGAGACTCACAGCTCGCCCTCTCCCACAAATACACCAAGAATTACATCTACAAACTCACTGAAGCGCACAGAACACCTACTGAGCTCTGGCAGAGTGCCTCTCATGTCGAAATGCAGGCGGATTCTCACAAAATCCGATAAATGAGTTTATACAGTACAGCACAGGGAACGATATTCAGTATCTCGTAACTTACAATGAAAAAGAATATGAAAACGA